GGATAAGCTGAAGGCTAAAGGATGGGTTGAGTTGTCCACGAGTGATTGGGTTTCCAACATCTTTGGTGTCCCCAAAAAGGATGAGAACGGGAAGATGCCGTCACGTCAAATGTGGTTGAAGACGGCAACGGCAAACACGCCAATCCGTTGGGTTCTTGACTACAGGCATGTCAACTCTCAGTCGGAAATCCCCAAGATCCCACTACCCAACATCGAGGACCTGTTCAGCAAGATGTTTGGATGCGTGGTCCTTACAAAGATCGACCTTGCGTCCGGGTACCATCAAATGCTTGTGATTCCACATGCACGCAAGTACACGGCATTTCGCACGCATAAGGAGATATTGCAGTGGTGCGTTGCCCCGATGGGGATGGCTGGGATGCCAGGAATTTGGTCACGCCTCATGCGTTCACTTTTCGACAAGTTCCCATTTGTCGTTGTGTACTTGGATGACATTTGCATTTACTCCAAGTCTATGGAGGAACACACTCAACATTTGCGCATTGTCTTAGAAGTCCTGCGCAAGGAAAAACTGTATGCGCGGCTTGAGAAGTGTGCGTTTGCTGTGGACAAGGTTGACTTTCTGGGCCACACCATCTCTGCTGATGGCCTGCAAGTTGACGCAAGCAAAGTGCGCGCGATTGAAAAGTGGGCTACTCCCACGAATCGCAAGGAGCTGTTGAGTTTCCTGGGTATGGCAGGGTATTACCGCAAGTTCATCGCCAACTACGCCAAGTTGGTGTTGCCGATAAGTGAGCTTGCGAAGGACAATGTCCCATGGCAGTGGACAGCGCAGCATGACAAAGCGTTTCTCGTCATCAAGGCGGCGTTGCAACAGGCTCCAGTGTTGCAACTGCCTGACTTTGACAAGCCGTTCATGATCACCACGGATGCCTCGGGCTACTGTTGTGGTGCAGTGCTCTCACAGCGGGATGCCGAAGGCGATGATCGCCCAATCGCTTTCCTCTCGAAGAAGTTTGGTGACGCAGAACGCAACTGGCCTGCTCATGAAAAGGAGCTGTATGCCATCAAGCTGGCACTGACTAAGTGGAGACCCTACGTCTATGGATCTCACTTCGACGTGTTCACCGACAATTCGACTTGTCACTGGTTTCTGAAGACTCCAATCTTAACGCCAAAGTTAACACGTTGGTTGGATTTTTTCAGTAGTTTTGACTTCACGTTGCACCATCGTCCAGGCAAGACGAACGTGGTTGCAGATGCATTGTCGCGCCCTCCACCCGCTGACATTCATATCAACACTGGCTCAGTGCATCACTGCGATTCTTCATGCTACGACCGCTATCGTCGTGTTCATGAGTGGACGACACGCGTCGCGGCCTTCAAGTGCATGGATGTCCGCACATTGCAGTTGTTGACGGACTTGCCTTCTCCGGGGGAGGAGTGCGTTGATAGTGTCGAAGTCGAAGTTCCTCAATAACTCGTCGCCCATCACGCGGAAGAAGAATCCTACAGCATGGTGAAGTTGGACTCGAACCCCTGGAAAAACGGTTCCTGAAGGCGTACGAGAAGACGAAGGAGTTTGCCAACGACAATAAGTTCGTAATGAATGATGGACTCTATTTCGTTAAGTCGAAAGACCAAGTTTGGAAGTTGTGTGTGCCGAACGACGACTACTTGAAAGGCGAGATCATTTCGCAGAGTCATGACACCAGCATAACGGCGCATCCAGGTGTGCGTCGAACGCAACTTCACATTGCACAATGGTACTATTGGGTGGGACTTGAGGACGACGTCAAGCTCTACGTCGCTACTTGCGAAACCTGTGCACGCTACAAGACAAGCAGTGCCAAAGCCAATGGCAAGATGATTCCCATCAAGTCGCCAGATGAGTGTTGGCACACGGTTTCCATCGACTGGATCACGGGCTTGCCTGTATCCAATGGCAAGGATGCGATCATGACGTGCGTGGACAAGACGTCCAAACGACCCAAGTACTGTGCTACGACGTCGACTGTCGATGCTCCTCAAGTGGCCAAGGAGTTCTTCGACACAATAGTGCGGCACCATGGCCTACCGGCGGTCATTATCAGTGATCGTGACTCCAAGTTCACCAGCCAGTTTTGGCAGGAGCTCATGAAAATCATGGGAGTCAAGCACTTCATGACGACTGCAGGAAGAGCGCAGAGTGATGGAGCCACAGAGCGCCAAAATCGGACACTCGAAGATGCCTTGCGCTGCCAAGTCAGTTACCTCGGACATGACTGGTCAGAGCACCTCGGCACCATTGAGTATGCGCACCAAGGATTGATTCAAGCGTCGACAGGACTCATTCCATTCGAAGTGGACACGGGCAGAAAGTTGCGTAACCCCATTCTTAATCAAGTTGAAACTTTGAATGAGTACGCGAAGAACTTTTCCGAGCAACGTAAAGCATTAGTCAAGATGGCACTTGAAAACCTTGACAAAGCACAGGCTCGTCAAAAGAGCTACTACGACAAAAAGCGCTCCAAATTGGAGTTTCGCGAAGGCGAGTTTGTAATGCTAGCGACACGCAACGTCCCCATCAAGCATGCGAAGTTGGTGAAGAAGGATGAGAAACCAAAGTTAGTACCGAATTTCATTGGTCCCTTTAAGATCATACAAGTCATCAACCCGGATGTTATGAAGTTGGAGTTGCCTAAGAGCATGAAGCGTCTTCACAACGTCTTCAATGTCGATCGACTGAAGAAGTGCCCTGGCCAAACGGATCGGTTTACCAACCGACCCATACCCAAAGCGACTCCAATGCTTTTGGACGACAGTGGCCACGAAGTCTTCATCGTCGAAGAGCTGCTGAAGCAACGGCAGTTCAACCGCAAGAAAGAGTACCTCGTCAAGTGGCATGGATT